TGTCAATATCTCAGATGAGGGCTCGGGGTAGCACCTGGGGTCATGATGTCATCTCAAGGCTCTTCCACCCTGTTGCATTCAGCAGGTGGTAGCATGCACGCTCTGCAGCCTGGCGCCTCCTTCCTCCTGGCTAAGGCTGTGTGTTTTTCTGTCCTGTGACATGGGGACTCTCACTCCTCTTTGCCAGCAGACTTCACAAAGATCTTGCCTACTTTCACCTTCAGCCCCGACAGTCACGATTGCTTCTTGATGATTCCGGTTTGCTCGGAGAAACTTCCCTTGTCCTCTGGCTCTGGTAGCTGACAGATAGGCAGAGATTGATGTCTGTTTCTACAGGGTGGAGGTGAGGATCGGTTGTCTGAGTGACATCCTATGGAATTGCTGGTACCTGCTCATACCTTTCGTTTCATCAGTCCATCAGCTCCGTGCATCATCATGGCACAGAAGAAACATTGGCTCCTCTTTTCTGATTGTCCACCTGCGTGTGGCTTCTATTCTTACCAGCCCTTCTTCCATTGTTGGTGCAGAGGCTTTTATGTCATTCTGAACTTGTCTCTGGGTCCAGCTGAAGACTGACTGTCACTCATCCCAATATAATAATCACAAGATATGGTCTTTGAGACATAGTGTATTATCTGGTGTTTGGCTGCTCTTCTTGTTGCTGTGGCCAGATCGATGACAGAGACAACTTCAAAGGAGAAGTGGATCCGTCTAGAGGGTTCTGTTCAAAGTGGGTGAGGCATAGCAGCAGATCTGTGCACATCACGGTGGGTCAGGAAGGAGAGGGCAATGCAACTCAGCTTGCCACATTTTGCCTCCTTCGACCACATCCAGTCCTTCCAGATGTTCAGCCTATGGTATGGAACCACCCACCTTCAGGGTGAGTCCTTCCCATAAATTAATTCTCTCTGCACGCATCCTTGTTGTCACACCCAGAGGCGTGTCTCACCAATCTTTAGGGTGATTCTAAGTAAAGTCTAGTTGACAGTGGGGATTGATCATCACACTCAAGAACTTGTCAGAAATAGAGCTACCGGGGCTCACCTCCCACCTAGGAGATTGGAGAGATGGAGCCCAGTGATCTTTGCGCTGGCCTAGGGAGTTGGGTGCTTGCTCAAGTTTGAAGACCGTCAAGCAAACCAAGGCTGAAGCAGTCACTGTGCTTTCCATCTCAACTTCATAGGCTAATTTCCAAAAACCTGTCCTTAGAGATGCCTTTCAAGATCACAGAGGAGCTGGGATGGTGATACACATCTTTATTTCTAGCAGTAGGTAGGCTGATGTGGGAGTCTAGGAACTTTGAGCCCAAACTGGGCTCCATCATGAGACCCTGTTATAAGACAGACAAAGGAGGAGTCTGTGGGGTTGGTTTCCACATTGCTTTTTGATTTGTTTAACTCAAAATTCTGCAATCTGAACTGACCCCAGAATTGTTTCATCCTGTACAATGCTCCTGCCCCTGCCTCATTAGCTATCAGTACCGTTTACTTTTCTTCTCCCACTCCGGATCAATTCCCATGAACTTGTATGTTACCACCTAGAATTTTTATCCTTACATTTTCACTGTTTGTCTTGGAGAAGAGTCACAGCTGAACCTCAGAGAAGCCACTGGGGCGAGGGCTGAAGAATGATTTTAGACTTGAAAAGCTCCGGACCTGGGTGGGATTGAAGACCCACTGCTGACTAGTTCCAGGAACTTGGGTTCTTACGAGGTTCTTGCAAAGGCAGACATCCATAGTAGACTGCACATAGTATTTACCGTCAGAGGATTAATGCAAGCTTAGGCATCTCCAAGCTTTTGCCCGTTGGCCTCAGTTTTTCCACCAATAAAATTGGGAGATAGTGTTAAAATAATAAACATAATAAAGGACTTGCAGGCAGTTATTGATTAAAATGATTTTTCTGCAAAAATGAGTCTGAGTAAACTCTAAGATACTCTAAAAGGTTACCTCTTTTTGTCTCAGAAACCATGCTTGCAGAGTCTCTGTGCCTCTGGCTGGCCTGCAGCAAGCGTTCCAGAAGCTTTAGTTCCCTTTCAGGCAAGCAGAACCCTGAAGCACTAGAGCACTGCTTAGTCCCGAGGGACCTTGTTCATCTGACAGAGAAGAATGATTTGTAAACGGCAAGGCTCTGTTTTATGGTCCATCTTCCTTAGTATTGATTTGTTTATCAAAATTTTTATTTATAAGGAGCACGAAAATAAACCAGCCCCAATTTCTGCAGGATGCATCACAGCTTCTGAATTAATGAGGTCCACATTTATGAGGGCTCTGCATTGTTACTTCCTTTTCATCCTTCTGTGATGGGATGGGGGAACCACAATGGTGCTTGTTACAAAAGAGGGGTCCTCGTATTCCTCTGGTTGGTAGCAGGCACCATCCATGCATCCTTTTTGCTCTTGAGAAAGATGATGTCTCCAGCTGCTAGCAGCTGTCACATAGCTTGAGATTTTGGCAGAAGCCTTTCATTGGGGGCTGACAATGCCATGAAACTATGAATTGCTTCCACAGTTTCCAACAAGTACCTCCCTATGGAAAGCTGAAGAATGAATGATGTAATGTGTTTCAGGGTCAAGGAAATCAGTGGCAGGATTCTCATGGTTTTGTTAGCCCTGACCCAGGGCCCTTGAGAGAATTTGCCAACTCTTGAATCCTGTCTCATGTCTGCTGAATCTATCTATCTATTTAAAGTGTTTCTAGTATTCTGATGCACACTCAAATTTGGGAACAGGGATAAGGAAGAAACTGAGGACAGATTTTACCTTCCAGAGGAAGAATGGTGGAGCCCTCAATATAAATAACATTTAAATGGTCACCCCTCACAAGGGGTCATCAACTTTTCCTGTTCATATAAATCCCCCATCTTGGGTTGTTGGGGCAGTGGTTCTCAGCACTGGTCATACTTTAGAAACCAAAAGGACTTGTTTAAAATAGTCCCTTTTCACTGACTGTGTCAGAAAGTCTGAAGTTTGTCTGGGCATCTGAACAATTTAAAGATCCACGTGATTCCCAAGTTACCCTGTGTTGAAGGCTCTGGAACATGGCTTGTTAAGAAATATGAATTTTGTCTTATTGACATGGGGTATTTTTTTCTAGGTATTTATTTTTGTGTTTGTATTAGAGAATTGTGTATTCACTATAGAATAAACAACTTCCAAACGAATGACTAGTTGAAAAGAGAAATAATTAACTCTCAGCTGACAAGATACTTCTGTGTTTTCTTTCAATCATTTCCTGGTGTTTTGAATGCACTTGCTTGAAATTTTATAATGTTGTTGTCATCTTTAATATCTCATTTTCAGAAACCTTTTAATTTATGTATTACAAGTTCAATGTATAATCCACACTGTGGCAGTATGAATGCCTAGCGACTTGCTTCTGTCCTTGTGTGTGTGCACTGAGGATGGTACCAGGAAGGCTTCATGCTTTACAGTGTTTACAATGCTCAGGTTTCAAGCACATCATAGATTCCCATTTGAATGTCAAAAGTAAAATATTTACTCCTTTCTCTCTAAATTTCTTCTCCCACAGTCCTCAACCTGCCCTTGTCTTTTCCTTACCTCAATGCATGTCTGTATTTTGCCCGTTAGGGGAGATAGTTTTATTGCAGGGAGTCAAGAAAGGAAAACATAAAGATCTTGCCAGTGTTTTATGGCCACCATTCCACCTGCTAGCTCAGCTGTTGCTGGGTTTCTCTTAAGCTGCTAGTCTGTGGTCCCACAGGTTGTGCATGATTAGCAGACACACACACACACACACACACACACAGAGAGAGAGAGAGAGAGAGAGAGAGAGAGAGAAAGAAAGAGAGAGAGAGAGAAGATGCCATCAAGCACATTCCTCCATGCTCTGGAAGGGAGAAAACAAAGATACAACCTAGTAGTTTATAGAAAAGAACTATAATGTTCGAAGGAGGCATTAGGGAAACCCATGCTCCCGTTTCTCAAGGGAGCTGAGAGTATCTGTGTGTCTTCTGTTTTTACAGTGGGTTTTTTTATTTGTTGTTGTTGAAGACTTTAATTTTCTTTATTTGTTTATTTTTATGTGTATGGAATTTGCAGTTGCATGTATTTTTATACACTACATGTGTGCAGTGGCCACAGAGGCCAGGAGAGGGTTTTGGACTCTCTGGATTACAAATGATTGTTAACAGTGTGGGTGCAGACAAGTGCTCTTAACCACTGAACCATCCTTCCAGCCTCTATCTGTGTGTTTTCATTCAAAGTTTTATTATCTTTTTGCAATGCACTGACTTGAAAGTTTACAGCCCCATTATTGTGTTTAATGTATTGTTTCCTTGAAACCTGTTAAGTTTAAGAAAGGATTGTGGGACAAGTACAGTGCTACTCCCATTGGTTCACTGTCTGACTTGATGGACTTCACAATGGTACACATTCGGTAGCCATACTTTTACATTTGGAATTTTCATCTCTTGTTGGGCTTCCAAGATGCAGTATGGTATTCTTCAGTGATGCTGGGTAGTGTCCACGAGCAATAGCAACCTGGCAGCTGTGGCCACAGCAGAAACAGTTGACACTCTGTTGCGCTGTGTTGCCAAGCTACAGTGTTCCGCATTTTCAGCTTTAGATGCTTCAACTTGCCATGGGTTGATCAGGGTGCAACCCCACTGTAAGTTGAGGAGCATCTATAAAGTAACATTCTAGTGTACTTTGTGGTCACTCAGAAATGTCACAATCAAATCATGTGTCTCCCTTTCCTCTTCTACTTTCAATGTGGCATTAATCTTTGTCACATAGCAATATATAGACACATAAGATGTGTATGTATAATGTATGTGCATATATGTCTATATATACAGCAATATATTCCCGGTAATATATATGTGTATATATTATATTTATTATAATATATATTTGACCTTGTGGCTTAGCTGCTGGTTTGAATATAAGTTCACCACCATTGCTGGGCAAGATGGAGCTGTGATTGTCTTCTGTGTTGCTGTCATGGATGTGTCAGGTAATTCTGCCCATCTTCTTGCAGGGCATTATGGGAAGGATGCTTACCGAAGTGGAGGACCAGATCTCCATAACTTCATCTCATCTGGATTTGTCACATTAGGAAGAGGACACACGAAGGGTACAGTGGAAACAATTTTTTACTAAAATACAGAGGTTGCCTAGGGAACCCCAGTCTGAAGTGTGAAGATGGTGTGGAGTCCCGAGGCTTACTAGAATCAGGAATATGTGGGGTTGTTCCATGGCAGCATGTCCTGGGCACAGAGATGACCAGGCGGTCACATTTATGACTTTAGATGGTAACAGACCTCCAAGAGACACACATCCCACTCTGTACATGACGGGAACACAAATGCTGGTGCCTCCCCATGAGAGGGGACCACAGGCAGCATGGTGGGAAATGCTACCAATGGATGCAGTACTTGTAAAATGTGTGTTTGTCTCTGGGCTGTTATTCCCTTATCCCCTTCCCTTGCAAAACCCCTATCTTATACCCAATGTCAATGTTCTGTACTGTGAGTTTCTAAGCCAGCGTGTATGTGGACAGTTCCGGCATCCTCGGTGTGTCTCTGTAAAACTCTGTGATGTGGGCACAAAGGTAGAGGTTGTTCAGACCTTCAAGCTGCAAGATGAAAGCTAAGCTAGCATTTCTGCCAAGCTGCTTTACGACCTAGCTGGCAGCTTGCAGAGCATCTGCGCAGGGGTATGGAATCCTCCCCAATTCTGTCTTTTGTTTAAATAGTCCTACTAGTGTTGTGAGCATTCTGTCTCCGGATCCCTGACTCCTTAGATTACCTTCCCAACACCTGTGTGCTGTTACCGACCAAATGTGAACCCTGTAGTTGGGATGCTCCATTTCTGTCTTTCTCTGAAATATGTGTCTGTCTCAAGTGTGAGTGAACAAGGACTTTGCATTATCTTCTTACGTTCAATGCTCCTACTTTTTAAATTCCCTGTGATGTGTGTTTATCCTATAGAGAAAACGATAACTGTATCTGTGTATGTATTTTCTGTTGTCTCTTTGTGTCTAAATAAAGTTTATTGAGGATACAGGTTGGCATTTGTGGCTATTAAGAGTTGCAGAATCAAAATGAAACCAGATGTTACGGATGGGGGAATGGGCCTCACAGTTAAACACGGAAAAGAACAATCATAGAGACACTTGTACCTACGCCAACCTGGAGTTACCAACCCCTACATATCCACTTAGTGGTAAATACCTATTGCCGTGAAACAGAAGGCTTTAAACTCAACACTTTAAAGTAAAATAAACATTTATTATGAAGCATGGTTTCTGTGAGTTGGGGATTTCAGAGCTCCTGAATTAGGGAGTCTCTTGTGAGTCTTCAGCTACCAAGTTAGGCAGGGCTGGGTCATGTAATGTATTGACGGGCACTGGCAAATATTAATTCCAAGACGTCATACTTACATGGTGCTATTTTGGCAGGAGGCCTCCAGCCCTCCCATAACCCTGTCTCTGTGGTCTGCTTGAGTGATTTCATGATGTGTTGACTGGGTATCCCGACAGTGGTTGAATCACAAAAGAAAAAAGACATAAGTTCCAATATCTTTTATGACCAACTGTATTGGTTATACACACCACCATTTTCATAAGGGCTTATAGTGTATAAATGTCAGTTCTCTTCAGGAGAGGAGATGACTATCCAGAAACAAGAATTGTCAGGAGGGCCAGGATATTCGGAGACCATTTTAAAGGTTGGCTTTCTATTACACATACCTCAAGGAGTAGAGCGATGAATCTGTTATTTACACAGAATCCAACAACTTATCAAGACTTCTCAACTATGGTTTCCCACCCTTACGCCAACCCTTTCAAGGTGGTTCAAGCCATAATATCAAGTAGTGAACTCTCTGTTGAACAGGAGGCAAATAGGAGGCAAAATACAGTGCACCCTTATGTTCTTCTCTTTGCACTGGGGAAGCAAAGTCAAGTCTTCACAGTAAGTAGAAGTGCAGCAGAGACAAGTCTGGAGAGTACTTTAGGAGGAAGCTACTCTTGCCAGGCATGGGTCCTGAGGTAAGGTGAACAGAGACCTGTCCCCCAGCAAGGGGAAGCAGGGCAGAAGAGCTACAAGGCTGTAGAAGGTACTGGGATGGCTTCCGAGTTCTCTGGGGGATAGAGACTTAGGGGGAATGCCAGAGGTTTGGCCCAGTAAAAATACTTCTAGATCTCACTGGGAGTTCCTGAGTAGATCATTTTCTCTAAATAATACTTGCTGGAGAAGGGGTTGGTTATGATCAATCTTGATGTCTAGCAAGACACATCATGGGGTCTATGGCAGGAAACAAAAGAAGGGAGCAAGTGCTAAGAAAGCTAATGGAGGTTTCTGCCGCGGAGCCCATAGCCCTGATGCTAAGCTGGTGATCTCAGCGGAAAAGGAAGTGACAGTGTGTCTTTTGGCAGTTTAAGTCCCAGATCTGAGCAAGAGCCGGGGTAGGGCTATGGAAATTCTAGAGATTGTACAAGTAACACCTGATTTATCTCTGAGTCCCTGAGAAGGGAATAAAGCCAGGATACAGCTTTAAAATTCATCAAAGGCGTAGATTTTAGCCAGGGATGATTCTGGAAAAATGACATACCAAGAAGAAGAGGGAAGGAGACTAGATGGTCAGTGAGATGGGAAAGGGATTCTGTAGTACAGGAGGGACATTTGGAAAGGGAGCAAAGGCAGCCTGATGGGAAACAGTGCCCAGGAAGCCAGCATTTGCTGTGTTGATTTTAGGGAGGAAGAGTACAGAGACATGCTGTTCTCTATCTATATCTATCCATAGCTTTGGATGATGACCAGGGCTCTTGTCATCTGTGCTCTTGGCTGGCTGGAAGGAGGAGAGAAGTTAAGGCTGCTTCCAGAGACCCCCTTCCACACACAGTCACGGCATCAATTGAGCCTGCTCCACTCAGCACCCCTTCCTGAATCTGAGCTCACCGTTGTCTTCTTGCCACCCTTCGCCAGGCCCACCTCCTGGTTTGACCCACACCACTCTGTGGCCAGGCTGACGTGTTTCACCTATGCAGTGGTCTAATGCTGGGGAGGTTCTGTTTTCTGTGAGGATTGAAATCAGATATTCTTGTCTATCAATAATGAGATGTGCATGCGTGGGCCTCCAGGGAAACCTAGACTGCCGTTCACCCATTAGAATTTGAACATGAGCCTTCCGATCACCAGTCGATGGTGGTAAGAAGACTTCTGGGCCATCTGACTGAAAGAATCCAGCTTCGATACGTTCACAGTCTCAGAAGCCAGGGGAGTGAGTGGGTTGAACTGTGCTAAGGTATTTGAAGACTGGACTCCAGATAAAGCACAAAGCTCAGAAGGCGTCCTAGTCTCCATGGCAACAGTGAGGCAGGATGAACAGTAAGAAAGAGAGAAGGCGCCACCAGCTTGCCTGAAAATGGCCTGTGTGAAGCTGATACTACCTAGGAACACTCTATACTGTACTTTTCTATGAAGGAGGGATGTATGGGTCCATAGAAGCAGAGCAGGGGGAACTCTTGTATTCACAGCCCAAAGCACCACGACTCTAAGGCACTCATTGCTGTCTGTTCTGTACACATGGGGCAACTTCCTTATATAGTCCAATCTTATTCACTGTTGAGCAATGACTGAATACCAAGAATCAGTCATTAGTCTGGAGTGTCCAGATCTATTCCAATCTATTTCACATGTTCCTAGACAGCACACAGGGTCATCCCTAAGTCCTGTGGTTAAGAAAACACATGCCAACCATCTGATGCTGTTTTATAATCCTTGAGTCAACCTCACATGATATCTACTTGTTAAAGCTGATGTATTACAATCAAGGATGGACCAGAGCTAATTGAGACTGCTGTGTGCCAGTGAATCCCATCTTTTGACATCCTACATGCCTGCTTTTTAAATAAACCCAAAATATATCAGATGAATAAAACCCACCACAATATCTTTGAGAGTCTCTGTTGGGGTCTTCTGTTTGCAAGTTCTTCCATTTTGTTGAACAGCGATCATTGGAGCTCTCCATGTGATCTTGGTTTATTGACAAGAACACTACTACCCTCTAGGAACCTCAAAGGGTACTGTCACTCACCTCCAACTGGTACAGAACTCTGCCCCTACCTAGAGTAGTACCAGCAACAGTTCAACCATGGAAGACAATATGAGGATCATAACATCCTACATGCATTTCCTGAACCACTCAATGACCCCTTGTGGGCTAGCAGAACCTGTTTGTCTTCATGGCACCTACATGAGGAAACAGGTCACTTTCTAGTGAGGAAGTCAGGCTAAAAGCTGGCCAAGGAAATGGATGTCATTCCTCTTGGGTTCAAGTCATTCTGAGAAAGGATTGGGTTGAAATGGCACACTGCCTTATATATTCGTGTGACATGTAAGCTGCACTTTGTCACTCCCTGCCTTGATTAATGGTGTTGTTTGAAACTTAAACTACATTCTGAGTCCTGGGACACACATGTCCCTGGGTAATGCTTACTTGTAGACCCGCCATCATTGGCCTATGTAACTAACTATACCAGGCTTGTAGAATATTCTGCTGGAAAGGAGAGGTAGTGGAAGACAAAGGCTCAGCATCAGGGTGTGCTGCAAAGGGTCCCTGCTTTAGTAAATGCCAGTTCATCCCTCTCAATACAGACGTCCTCTTTAAAAGCAGAAAACTTGGGTACCACTAGATTCCCCCATGGTCTCTAGTAGTAGGGCATGAGAGAAGGCTGTGGCAACTTTGGAGTGAAGAATTCATTCCTTATTTTGCAATATCTACCATTCTAACTGCTTCCTAACAGGCAGGAGGGAGGCTTACACAAAGCCTGTTACACCTTTGAGTCCAGTGCTATTCTCAGAGCCTCTTTGGGAGAGAAAAGACCACTAGGTTCTTCTGGAGGTTGGCGTGCCCAACCAGTTAGGCTGCTAGCCATCTGCTTTCTGATTCCTTGCTAGTACTATGTGTATGCTTTCATTTTCCATGGGCCTAGGTTTCGAGTAAGTTTGTACCAGTGTCTTGTCTGCCTAGCTGATCTTGGTGTGGCTGACTGGTCATCTAAGTTGGAACTCTCCCTGCCCACAAGCCACTCTTGGCATTAACCTCTTTTGTCCTCTGCCATGTCACAAC